GTGGGTTCTGCCCTCAGAGGCGCCCGGGCAGTGAGAGCTCATCCGGGCAGTGAGGGGGTCAGGGCAGATGCGGAGGGCCAGCCGGGCAGCCGGGAGGCGGGACGCCTGGGTTTCCTAGGAGGCAGCCGAGCTCAGAGCCCACACTCCGGGGGAGAGGCGGCTCCCCAGAGCTGCTCCGACGTGAAGTCAGTTGTCACTTCTGTTAAAGTCATTAATTCCTAATTCCCCAATTACCTCATTAGGCGGCGGTGGGGAGAACGCGGCCGCTCCTACAGCAAATAATTATGGGAGTCAAAATTAATTTGGCAAAGTGGAGCGACGCTTTATTAGAAACGTCAAATTGCTTTTCTCTTATTTTGCTGCCGCCTCCCCGCTCTCAGCTGCCGATGCCGCTGCGGTGGGAGCTGATGTGTCACCGTCACCGGGGGAGGGAGCTCGGGGGCTGCTCCCAGGGGCTGCAGCCCATCTGGTGCCCGACTCTCCTCCGAGAGCTGGCCTCGCTCCTGGCTCCCACATTTCCTCCCAGGCCCCCCACCCTCACCAGGGCCCCCCCGAGGGCCAGGCGCCCCCCCTCTCTGCCCTCCGCAGCACCAGGCACAAGCCTGTTCCTCCGTGACCTGCACCAGGCAAGGCCGGTGGCACCTGCCGGGAAGGGAAGGTCTCTTCTCCACGCCCGGGGCCCCCGACCCTTTTCCCTCAGCAGCAGGGAGCCCTGTGCCCTACACCTTTGACACAGCTGTCACACAGGCGGACACAGAATGCACAGACCCACACGTCCAGGTGACGACCAGATGGCGTCAGCGGGCACAGGACATCAGCTGACACTGAACCCTTCCCAAGGGCTGGGCGATGTCCTAGGTGCTTTATGTTCATGATCTCCTTTAAACCTCACAGCGTACCTCGCTCCTCCCATCCTGCCCTGAGGTGCAGGGAGGCGAGGTGACTGCACAAAGACGGAGCGAGGATCCCTGGCCTGGTGGCTCAGCTGGTTGGAGCATTGTCCCATACACCAAAGACGGAGCGAGGAAGTGGCAGAGTTGGGACTCAAACCCAGGCTCCCTGCTCCAGAGCCACGCACAGCTGCTCATGACCCGGGAGGAGAACAGCAGCCCGCGGTCACAGGAAGGGACACAGAGACAGTCCCACCTGCCACGCGTGGTCAGGAGGTTGAAACACCAGCAGACACCACTCCGCCGGGAAGCTCTAACGTAGAGCGGCACCGACCAGAGGCCACAGACGCAGCCTGTCTCATCAGCCCCTACAATCCCAGGTCACACTGTCACTCCTGACACAGTCACCAGGCCCCGCTGTCACTCACAGCCACACTGTCTCTCCTCCTCAGGCCAAGACGCTGTCTGTCTCGCTCACTGGGGCACGGAACTCCCAGGTCTTCTCCCCAGGCTACTCCTTGTCCTGCCCCCCTCCCTTCCACACACCCTGCACCCCTTCCCTCCATGCATCCTGCACCCCTTCCCTCCATACAACCTACACCCTTTCCCTCCACGCATCCTGCCCTCCTTCCCTCCACACGCCCTGCACCCCTTCCCTCCACGCATCCTGCACCCCTTTCCTCCATACAACCTACACCCTTTCCCTCCACGCATCCTGCACCCCTTCCCTCCACGTACCCTGCACCCCTTCCCTCCACACACCCTGCACCCCTTCCCTCCATGCACCCTGCACCCCTTCCCTCCACGCGCCCTGCCCCCCTTCTCTCCACACGCCCTGCACCCCTTTCCTCCACGCACCCTGCACCTCTTTCCTCCACGCGCCCTGCCCCCCTTTCCTCCATGCGCCCTGCACCCCTTCCCTCCACGCGCCCTGCCCCCCTTCTCTCCACACGCCCTGCACCCCTTTCCTCCACGCACCCTGCACCTCTTTCCTCCACGCGCCCTGCCCCCCTTTCCTCCATGCGCCCTGCACCCCTTCCCTCCACGCGCCCTGCCCCCCTTCTCTCCACACGCCCTGCACCCCTTTCCTCCACGCACCCTGCACCTCTTTCCTCCACGCGCCCTGCCCCCCTTTCCTCCATGCGCCCTGCACCCCTTCCCTCCACGCGCCCTGCCCCCCTTCTCTCCACACGCCCTGCACCCCTTTCCTCCACGCACCCTGCACCTCTTTCCTCCACGCGCCCTGCCCCCCTTTCCTCCATGCGCCCTGCACCCCTTCCCTCCACGCGCCCTGCCCCCCTTCTCTCCACACGCCCTGCACCCCTTTCCTCCACGCACCCTGCACCTCTTTCCTCCACGCGCCCTGCCCCCCTTTCCTCCATGCGCCCTGCACCCCTTCCCTCCACGCGCCCTGCCCCCCTTCTCTCCACACGCCCTGCACCCCTTTCCTCCACGCACCCTGCACCTCTTTCCTCCACGCGCCCTGCCCCCCTTTCCTCCATGCGCCCTGCACCCCTTCCCTCCACGCGCCCTGCCCCCCTTCTCTCCACACGCCCTGCACCCCTTTCCTCCACGCACCCTGCACCTCTTTCCTCCACGCGCCCTGCCCCCCTTTCCTCCATGCGCCCTGCACCCCTTCCCTCCACGCGCCCTGCCCCCCTTCTCTCCACACGCCCTGCACCCCTTTCCTCCACGCACCCTGCACCTCTTTCCTCCACGCGCCCTGCACCCCTTCTCTCCACACGCCCTGCACCCCTTTCCTCCACGCACCCTGCACCTCTTTCCTCCACGCGCCCTGCACCCCTTTCCTCCATGCACCCTGCACCCCTTCCCTCCACGCGCCCTGCACCCCTTCCCTCCACGCACCCTGCACCCCTTCCCTCCATTCACCCTGCACCCCTTCCCTCCATGCACCATGCACCCCTTCCCTCCACAACCCTGCACCCCTTCTCTCCATTCACCCTGCACCCCTTTCCTCCACACACCCTGCACCCCTTCCCTCCACGCATCCTGCACTCCTTCCCTCCACACGCCCTGTACCCCTTCCCTCCATGCACCCTGCACTCCTTACCTCCATGCACCCTGCACCCCTTCCCTCCACGCACCCTGCACCCCTTCCCTCCATTCACCCTGCACCCCTTCCCTCCATGCACCATGCACCCCTTCCCTCCACAACCCTGCACCCCTTCCCTCCACACACCCTGCACCCCTTTCCTCCACGCACCCTGCACCCCTTTCCTCCACACGCCCTGCCCATTCCCCGCCCCTCAGCGCCCATCAGCTGCCACTTCCACTCCAGCTCCACTCTGCCCACAGGACATCTCTCTCACACCTCTTCCCTTTGCTCCTGGTTGGGGGAAGGGTGTGCAGCCATGGGTCCCTAAAAAGCTGTTGTATAAGGAGGGGCCAGTAGCCATGGTCCCAATCAGATGGGGACGGGCCGGAGCCCAAACGAGCCCTCTCCCCTGGCTTCCTCGCCGCCCCCCCTGAAAGCCCGGGGACTCCCCCAGACCTCTCCCTCTCCAGCACACAGAACCTGGCCACCTGCTTAACCCGCCTAGTGGGGGTCCTGGCCAGGGTCAGCCCGCAGAGTGCAGGAGGGAAAAGAGAGGCTGCAGAGGGCTGTGTAGGTGGAAAAAGAGACTGAGGTCAGAGTCCCAGGGGTTATAAGCGTGGGGAGGGGCAAGAGAGAGGCCAAGGGCAGGAGTGAAATGGAGCCAGGCCACAGCCCATAGGGAAGAGTGTGGGCAGAACCAGAGGCGAGGAAAGAGCAGGGAAGAAAAGGGCTGCCTGAAGGCCAGCTGTAGGATGAAAACTACAGGAGAGGAGCTGCGGGCTCGGAGGGAGGCCCAGAGGGAGGCACGGGAGGAGCAGAGGTTGAGGCAGGAAGCCGGCGCAGGGAGCAGCTGGGCAGAGAAAGGCAGGGCTAGGTGGGGTCAGAGGTCGAGGTGGGGATGTGGGGCTGGCCCTAGAGGTCAGAGAAGCGTGAGCACAGCCAGAGAGGCTGTGGGGGTGACAGAGTCAGACAACAGGTGGCAGGGTCAGAGGGTGGCTGGGAGAGCAAAGGTCACAGGGACAGAGGTCAAGGGCAGGGCAGAGGCAGAGGCAGGGGCAGGACATGAAGGCCAGGGGAAGAAGCAAGGTGGCTGCTGGCGCAGGGAGGGTGAGGGAGGCGGAGGACACGGGGCTGCCCTCAGCCGTCTAGGAGTGAGCAAGCAGCAGCCCAGAGCCGTCACCCCGTGGGGACATTTCTGGAGGCTGCAGAACAGCCTGGAAGACTCAACGAGGCCCTGACTGCGTTTGGAAAGGTCAGAGAACACAGTTGGCCTCAAGGTGCTGGAAGCGGGACTCCACGTCAGCCCCATGCCTGGGGCTCTCAGGAAGGACAGGCAGGGACGGCCTCAGAAGCAGAAGCACCGAGAGGAAACCCAGGAATCAGGGGACAGAGGTCCTAAGGGCTTCGCACGAGGGGAAGGTCTGAGGCGCTGGTCCCGTGGAGTGGGGGGGCGGATGGGGTCTGGGTGGGAAGGTCGGGGTGGGAGGCCAGGGCCCGCTCCTTACGATGTGCAGCTGCAGGTAGTCGCCGAGGCCCGAGGCGCTGTCCACGCGCACCAGCACGGCGCTCCGCTGGTGCGTGCTGAAGCCCACGGCCAGGCGGTCCATCCTCGTGCTCGGCCGGTCATTGGGGGGCCACGTGTAAGTGATGAGCGCGCCCCCCTTCCCAAAGATGTACGTGGTCCCGGCTGCAGAGAGAAGGAAAGGGAGGAGAGGGAGATATGACATCAGCAGGTTCACGGGGCTGTGCCCGGAGCACAAGGACCCCCAACCTTCCTCAGGGTACAGAGCTTCCGCCGGGATGCCCACAGCAGACACGGGCCTGCCGCCCTGGGGAACAGTGGCTTTAATTACCGCAAAATGGAGAGGTAACAGAGAGGGGGACCCCGAGAGAGCCCAGAGGGAGGCCGCAGAGGACCAAGAGGACTGCTGGGGGCAGGGAGGACCCGAGGGGCCTGAGCCTCGACTCTCCCAGGGCTGGTGAGGTGACAGCTCCGAGGTGCCTCTGAGGGCCAGAGCTGAGCAGGCCCCCAGGCAATGGAGCCCCCGGCGATGGCGGGAGGGGGAGCAGGAGCTGTGCTCAGCTCTGACTCACAGCCCACAGGCTGGCACCCCTCCAACACCTGCCCTGCACCCCTCCAGGCCCCTGGAAATCCTGGCCCCAGTTTTCCCAGGGCTCCCTGTTTCCACACACAACTAGGGGCTGCCTGGGTCCCAAAACTGGGGGGCCTGGAGCCCTGCCCAGAAAAGGAGAGACAGACATGGGGGGTGGGCGGGAAGTGAGACTGACAGCCAGCGGAGGAAGAAGGCAGAGGACAGATGGACAGAGAGGGGCCGAGAGGGGTGTAGGTGAGAGCAAGTGGGAGAGTGGGAGCCAGAGAGGAAGGCTCCCTCTCCCTGCTCTCCCCCACCCCACCCTCTCTCCCTGTCTCCTCCATCCGGCTGCCGGGGGCGGTGTGAGGTCCCTAACGATCTCAGCCCCAAAATAAACCCCATTAGTCTCCATGTTCCCTCCTGCGGCTGACTGGGTTCCCTGGCCCCCAGCTCCCTGGGACTGATGGCTGGGGTGGGGGTGGGGGGCTATCACCCAGTTTCCAGGAAGGGAGCCTTGTCTGGGAGGCCTAGAGCAGCGGTCGCCAACCGGTGGTCCGTGGACCACTGGAGGTCCATGAGGTCCGGAAGGTTGGTGGCCGCTGGCCTAGAGGACTAGTGCTCCGGGCCTTCCGAGAAGGGAAGAGAACAACCTTGCATTCTTTAGAGCATAAATGGGGCAGATGAGATTCATAAGATGCTTAATTAAATCATTAGGCACTAACGACTCCTCTCAAAGCACTTCTTGGGGGCAGAGGGGTTCAAAGAGGATTTATCTAGAGAGAGAGAGAGGCAGCTGGGCCGGAGGGCCAAAGCCTGGAGTCGGTGGGGAGGAAAGGGGGGCCCTGGAGGTGGGAGAGCTCTGGGTGGGAGGGAAAACCTAGGGTCAGGGAGCTGGGGGCCTGGGGGGCAGGAGGGCCCGCTGGAGGGGCAAACGTGCGACGGTAAGATGGCGCCCCAACCGGTCACGCTGAGGCCGGGACCTCAAGCGCCTCTGGGTAGTTCAGGCAGTGCCGTCAGGGACAGGGGACTCTAGCCCAGGAAGTTCCCAGATCCCCCAAAAGAGGGGGCTTCTGCGAGCCTCGGAGGGAGGCACCTTCTGCAGGCCACGGGGAGCTGAGCAGAGGAGGCTGTTGCCTGGGCCCCGAGAGGCAGTGAGGCCAGCAGGGGCCTGGAGGGGGGGCAGGAGCTATTCCCCAGAGCCCTTGCCACCAGTGCCTGGTCTCCCCAGGCAGGGCCAGAGAGGAGAGGGGACCCCCGGAGGCAGGACGGGGTGAAGGAACCACCTCGAAGTCTACTAGCTGACATCTGCTACGGCCTGTGGCCAGGACAGCACCGCCAGCAGGCGCCCGACCTCGTCCTTCCTACCTGCTGCCCTCCCCCCGAAGGCCCAGTGCCGAGGGCTGATTCCTCAGGGTGGGACCCTGAGATTAGGGTGGAGAGTTGGATGGGGGCAGAGTACACAGGGAGCTGCACCCCCCCACACCCCCCCACACCCCGACAGGGTGGGCCACCTGCCTGGAAAGGGCAGGGCCGGGAGCAGGGCCGGGAGCAGGTAGGCCTCAGCCAGCAGCCGTCTCCACTCCCAACGCAGCTCTCGGAAATCCGGCTGTTTCCATGGCGACCGTGATACCAGGGTCCGCCCTTCTCCCTCCACTCACAAACTGCATGGCCCAATGTGGGGGTGGGGAGGCCCGGGAGCTGAGATGCTGGCCTCCTCCACACCCCACCCTGCCTCGGGGCCAGAGCCTGCTGCCCCTTCATCCCTGGGCTCAGGGGTCCCCCAGTCAGACGAAGAAAGGGCTTATCGAGTTTCTGGGTCCCTCAAACCTGCAAAGGAAACGCCATGTACCTGGGGCCAGCTCCCAAATCTCCCAGGTCAGGGCGGAAGGAGGCCCTTTCTCCTCCCTTTCCCAGCCGGGAACCCAGACTCCACCTTACCCTGGAGAGCGCCCTCCTGCGCCGGGCGGCCTGGGGTGCAGGCAGCCCATGTCCCACAGGGCATGAGGCCGGAGGGATCAGAGGTGGCACTGGCACCCCAGGCCCCAGGCCCCACACCAGCCCACAGGCGAAGACGCACGCGCTGCACACAAAGGCCCCGCGCGTTGAGGCCGAAC